AAAAAAAAAAAAAAAAATCAGAAAATTAATATTTATCTGCCCCTGGCTGCCTGTCATGTGGCCCTCGATGGCTTGCCAAAACTCAGTAAGCGGCCCTCCGCCTGAAGTAATTCCCGCCCCTATCCTCGATACAAGTCCCACTAGAAATAAAAGTAGGAAATCCAAATGATAAAATTATTTCAATGATTTTCTTGTTAAGAGTCAATGCAATGATCTTGCTGTCAAACAAATTAAAATCTGTATGGATAGTTTACGTGACCCCCCCTTCCACCCAGTCCTTATAAACCTTTTAAAAAAAGTTTCAGATCCATCTTATATAACAGCTTCCAAGCAGACAACATACAAGCAGAGGTAGGAAATTTAATGGCAGGACAATCATCTTGTGATCTATTAATTAAGTGAAGTGCCCCCTACTAAGGTAGACGTGTTCACTAAAAACCATGTATGTCAAAAAATGTCTGCCTCTCAGCATCCACTTGAAGCTATGCCTTTTTGAGCTCTCATGAGTGGTCACCTTTTACAGAAAACAATTTTATTCTTTTTACCTATAATTTGGATACTGAAATTAGAAGTATCATGCTTGTTTTGAGTGATTATATCAGAAAGTATATTTATATATCATAACAAGATTCTTAACAACTTTCTAAATTAAATCGTTTCCACATATTTCCACTCACACTGAGTGGAAAGCAAATACAAGTTTTGTAATGGAATTCAGAAGAGTACATACAGGTGAAAAAATGCTTAAATAAAGTAACCAAAAACATTGTTATAAAGTACTTTCTTTTCTTTCTTAACAAGTTTTAGGATAATAACGGTTTTGTGAGAAGACTAAACTGAGGTCATGGAAGGAGCTTAACTAAATAAGTCACTGTAAAGTAAAGGAAAGTAAGAGTTTAGTGTGTTATCTGTTCCATGGTAAATGCCAGGGTGTGTGCACTTTACCTTTCAGCAGAGTAAACTTAACCTGTACTGGCTTAGTCCTCAGTGGAAGAAGGGTACACTGATGTGGATTAGCTTTTGTTTATAACAAGGTAAGCATATGCATTCATGTCCTCACTTGCTTTCCAATTAACTTGTCTTTCAAATTCAGCTTATCTATTGCTTGCTATTATGTCATTACCTGAACAAGGGATGTTGCTTACTTTTATTGGTTACACTCTTAAAAACAGTGAAGATACAAATTATTCCAAACACTTCCAACTATCAAAATCTCTGAAGATAACACTTTTTTCACTAGTTTTCTCATGTTGGATATTCATACCTAACTATAGCAAAAAAACAGCTTAGTTAGAAAAACATCACTACAGTTTAAAAACAACAAACTTGTATTTACCTTTTGGTGAACAGAAAGTCTTCAAAAGTGTTAGCCAGTTCTGGCCACATACTGTCAAATTTTCCAGAAGATGCGTGCTGCCTTGCAACTGGTAGTCCAATAGAAAGAACTTTAAGAAGAGAAGATACTGCTAGCTTCCATGTGCTTTCAGATGGACAGGAATACTTCAGACTTAGAGGTATCCTCAATGTCTGAGAAGAGAAAGTTCAACTAACCGTTATTCTTCCTTGAAGAAAACTAAGAGAGACAGATCTATGATAGCATATCTATCCAATATCTCTACTGGACATTTTACACTGAAGATGGTAATACTTTTCCCTCCACTTATTGCTGAGATTTCAGACGCTCTCTTTTTAATCTAATTACAATGATGATTCATGGTATATAACCTGGTTAAAGTAAAGACCTGATTAACTGAATACATTGTTGAAAGTAAGAATCTATTCTAATTACATTGGAAAATTATGTTTATTTTTCTCCCTATATTACCATTAGGGCCCTGAGAAAAATCGCAATTTCGTGGACACCGTGAAATTAGACCCCACACTGCAATTTTTAAGCGTTGTGAGCCTGTGCCAGAAAATAACACATGAAAGCACAGGTTTCCCTTTGCAGACTGGCAGTGTTCCAGCCTACAATAGGAAACCTGGGCTTTCCCAACATTCCAGCCTGCAAGCAGCTGCTGGCCAGGATGCAGCCACATGAAGGTAAGTGTATGAGGCAGGGGAACAGACAGCGTGTGTGCCTACCTGTCATAGGCAGAGGAAGGCCAGTGCTAACAGGGCTTAGCCCCCCAAAAACTTTTCATGGAGGCCAGCAACAGCAGCAGCACCATCTCTCAGTGCCCAGTGGTGTGCAGCCGCTCCTCTGCTGCCACTTACAGTTGCGGCGCATGCTGGCTCCACAACAGCCCTGTGTGAGGAAGGGGCGGGGTCAGGTGGGGCTCAGCCACCCCCAAATAATATTTTCTCCCCACCCCGTGATGCCTGCTGCACGTGTGCAGGTAAAGTATCGTTTTTCACAATATTCATGGAACTAGTCAAGATCAATAGTTGTCCCATGAATATTCCATGAAAATGATACTTTACTCATGCACGCATCACAAATTTTCTATAAGAAATCCACAATTCTCAGTGTCCTAATCATCATCTACTGGTCACCCCTAATCCTGACAAATGGGTTTCCACAACCTATGCAGATAGATTGAGACAGTTCATCATCATGAGACAGAAGAATTTAGGGCCTTGTTACATCTTACACTAAGCCATTGTTTGGCCAAGTGCTAGCTTGGAATTTGGAGCAGTCACATCTTAAGGCAAAAGATCTTTTTTGATAGTCTCTCGCCTGCACAGCTATGACATACCACTACAGGCCTGGTGAGCTAGGACAGGCTTCTATCCCTGCTCTACGAGCAGGGATGAGAGAGATTGGGAAGTGGGGGGCCATGTAACTATCAGTGTCACCTTCCCATCCTCAGCCCCCTCCCACCACACCCTTCTGCGACTGGGGCTACTAAATGTTCCCACCAGCCACAGCATGGTACCTACTCTGCTGCCTGGCCCAGCAAGGCACTAATGACTCCTTTGCTGCCTGGCCCTGGAGCAATGCAACACACTGCCCCACTGGTTTCCTCCCGGCAATATCACTTACCCACCCCAAGCTGGACATGGGCAGTATGCTAATGGCTCACCATGATGAAGCAGCACCTTCTCATCCATTCCCTCTGCCACTGAAGCTGCTAAATGCTCCCGGCAGCCATGGCATGGTACTGTGGGAGGAAACCAGTGGGGCAGTGTGGCACAATACTCCTAGGCTGGGCAGCGATGGAGTTGTTGGTGCCTTGCTGGGCCGGACAGCAGAACCAATGCCAGAGCCCCCACCCATGCAGTACTTTTCTTTTCCTCTTGTTTTGGGCCATGCAGCAGCATCCTGGTGCACCAGCTATGATTTTCCATGCCTTACTGCGCTCCCTCCCCCAGTCACTTCCTGCCAGCCCCAACCTGCCTCAAGCAGTCACCATCTCCAGCTACACAGAAACACTATCTGGGGGAGGGACAACTGCATCCTGGGATACTGGAGGACTTCAACTCGAGTGGCACAGCCATCAGCAGTGGCAACACCTTAACGGAACAGGAGCATGTTTATGTGGAACAGAGTTTATCTTGTCCTGGAGTGGCATAACTGAGCTACATAATAAGTGTTTTAAGCCATTTACAGGTGTTAATCTCTGGAGTGGCTGCAGGATAAGAGCTCCAGGAGCTGCCTAAAATTACCATTTAATAAACCCGTTAAAGAGAACAGCCCTATTCATAAAGGAAGCTGCCAAAGTGGAATACTTTCAAAGTTGGGAATAAAGACAACTTGATATTTATACTTCTCATAACAAACAGTATAAAAAATAAACCATGTGGACATAATCCTTACAAGGAATCATTACAAGGAACCTACTAAATATAAGAACAAGTGATATTTTAAAGACTAAAACTATTAAGGAAAGGAAGGATTAACCTGCAAAATAAAATAAAAGAGTATTTTTCATCTACTTCCATGCCACATTTGCTAATCCCAATAAGTAGAAAAATAAACAAGTAATGAGATAATAAAGAGAAAGAAGACAGAAAGGTATCAAAAGTGCACAGTGAGAGAAACCCTCCCCAGCTAAGCAGGAAGCCCATTCTGCCGAAGAATATAGTTGAAAAATCCTGAAGACCAAGTCTATAGTAACTTGGAAACATACAGACAGCACAACACTGGGACAAACATACAAAGTCTTTCATGAACTAGTTTCTTATATGCATGCTTGTGCAATCTACCAGATTTATAGTTGGAGGAAGGAAGGGAGATTCATCATCAACGTAAGATATCTTTGAAGTGGCAGCATTTTCTCGCATTGAAATAATTGGTAACATCAGATACAACACAGATATTAGCACAAGTTTCACTCAGATGTCACTAATAGAACAACATTAAAGAAATATTATCCTAATTTGGAGATCTATACATTCCATTTACAACAGATTATAAATAAAATCACCTATTAATTTAAAAAACAGCAGCCACCAATTGGAGAAAAATATGGACAAGTGTAACTTTATTCAGCTAACAACAAAATTTTCTTCATAAGCAAGAAACTGAAATCAGCCAAAATTCATCACCACAAAAGCAAGGTTCCCCAAATTATTTATTTGAAAGAGATGATACATCTTGTTCCTTTAAATTAAAATGCAAGCAATAAAGGTCAAAAAAGGTTATTTAAGAGTTCCCTTCTTTACATCCACATGCATGTAAATAAACATATACATCCCAGTACCATATTACTATATCCATCTCATACATACTTGAGAAACTTACAACCAGCTGAAAATATTATTATCTAGAACTGAAGGTCATATCAAACAAATTGCACAGTTCACAAGTGCAAATGCTAGGGCTAAAATTTTTAAGATCTTCAATTTTTCAGGTAGTATTTAAGAAGCAAAATCAGAGGTCTGATTTTCAGCAAGTAAAGTGACACAGCACTATAGGAAGTCAAATTTCACCCTTTCAGTAGACATATATAGGTTTTGAAGGTTGTTTTCAGTATCACATTTTTTACATTTTAACTTTTGCTCATTTCTGCTGCATGCTTAAGCTCCCACATACTCCAGCTACCATATTCTCAGCCGTTTCAAGTGCTAGTCAGCAGCAAAGGCACCATAATTACCTACTGCGTAAACCTTGGCTAAGGTATTGTCAGCCCCTAAAGTGGGTTGTCAGATTCCAACAAATCTGTGAATTCTGCTAAACACCTTGTCACAAGGACACAAAAAGGAAAGGAAGTCCCTACAACAAGATTTCAAAATACAAGTAGGGCTTGAGGGTAATTATAGAGAAGGTTCAGTGTCTTAGAATAATTAGAGTTTTGTTGTACTGTATTATAGTAAATCAGTTTAAAAGCATTGAAATGTAAATTTAAATAAATGATATTATTTCAGTCCACTTGAGTTAAAGAATCAATTCCTTCCCCATAAGCCCCAGACAAGAATCTTAACATACCATTTGTCTGCAGCTCTGAATAGTGCCATCTATACTGTCCCCTAGTGGTTCCAAATCAAACTAACCAATTTAATATATAAATGAAAGATAACAGTTTTTACCTTAATAATGTTCTGAAGAACTTTCTCATTTACTACAGCTTTGTGGCAAGCAGTCTTTTGGTATAAATCCACCACAACTTCCAAAGACCTCTCAGCAAATGGCACATAATTCAATGCTACCCATTCTGCCTGGAAAAAAAATAGCACACTGTTGAAGCATGAAAATATGCTGGTTATGCTTAAGAAAATTTATGTTGTACACTGAAATATTATTTTAATGCATGCAAGACTTCCTAAAAATACATTCCAGAGGAGCAATTTTGATCCAAGCAAAACATAACCCCTCCCTCCCCATCCCCCAAAAATACCCACAAAACATTCCGACTGCAAAAATGTGATAACATTTTGGAAAAGGCACGTCGCATGTTATGCAAGACTACTACAGTAGGACAATCTTTAAGGAAATTTAACTCACCGGTGCAAATAGTTGTATCTAGTGTGATTCCATTGGGTTGCAGGACAAACAGAATAAGAATAATTAATACATATGTAATAATTACCTCTTAAAGTTATATTGAATATTAGCATGTTGATTACACATTAGTGTTCATATTGTTTTTTTTAAAAACAGTTAACATGCTTCAATTTCCTACTGAATATGGAATTTTAAGAACCACCAATTTACGGAGTTCTCCCTAAAGAAAATTGTATTTCATCAGACTACTCTGATATAAGAAAGACAGCACAAGCTACTTAAGATGTGTGATTCTGTGCCTGAGGTCCATTTTAGACTTTTCCTATCAAATAAGTATTGAGAAAATATGTATCGAGGTAATAGAAAAAAGCAGTAAGAAAAGCCTGGAAAAAAAATGTCAATAGCTTAATTGATGACACAAGCTGACAAAGTTTTGTGGATGGGGTAAGGATGTTTATCACCTCTGTCTGAAATAAAACTGAAGTCATGAGCCATTACATTTAAAATAGAAAAGATGGGATTTTTAGTTAGTTACCTGATTATATTTTGCATTTGCAATGTGTTTCGTTTCCAGCTGCCCATACTGTGGAGGCTTACAGGAGAATTCTACAAATGCTAGTAGCTGGTCAAAGATTGCTGGATACATTATCTGCATATTTTCTGAACCTACACATATGGCCTGTGAAACAAAATTTAGAGTATTATAATATTTACACAAAAGTTCAGCTTTAAGAACTTCTCCTGTATTAAAAAATAAGCAGCAACTACTACTTTCAAAAAAAATTATCGAATCTATGTTACAAAAATATACAGATTTCTCAGCAAACTCTTCACTACCTCCATCATCTACACTGAAACTGGAGATGTCAACAAAATTCTAAATTTCAGATAATATAATTAAATATTGTAACAGTACACTGATGCAAGGTGACTACTTCATGATCAAAAGAAATGGGACTCAGCAAGAGTGATGCTCTATGTTATTTATTAGAAGGATTGCTCTGCATGTTTTTTGTCTCTGTCCCACAATGTTCTAAAGTCCCACTTGCAGGAACATTTAGACAGTGACAATTAGTCACCACAAGTAGTTAAAGTGGTAAGGAAAGAACAAATAAACTGTAAGGAACATCTCTCAAAGCAGCTTATAACAAAAGGTTTATAAGACTGTATTTACGATTCTCAGTTTTGCTGAACAGATTGCTGTCCAGTCAGAAGAAACTTAGAAGATGACAATGGAAGAGAACATGGTTAGAGAAGAGCAATTTCTTGCTAGTATAACTCTCAAGGAACGTCAAGTAGTTTGTACTCAAAAGCAGAGCCAATTTTCTTATACACTTATTCCAGTATTTGTCTTTTATATTAAATAATTAGCACGTTCCTCCCTGGGGTCTCCTTAGCCCCCCTCAGAATTCCAAGTGTCTTTTCATTTTACTGCGCCACGAAAGGGCCCGTGGTGTCATGTGGTCATTCTCTCAGAGAAGAATGAATAACATGCCTTCAGTAATAAAAAACCCCCCTCCATTCCCTTTTAGAGAATGTGTCACCTAATAATGTCTGAACAAGGAGGTAAACTGCAGTACTAGATTCTGATTTGTGCAGCACAAGATCATTATTTTAATCACTAAATTAAAAGATTTGATTTTTCTAGTTTAAAAATTGTGCGAGATGGATGGTGCACTGAGGTTGCAATTGTGCACTGCTTTTGCTAAATCTACAATTTCATATATAAGTATAAACAATAAGCATATAAGATTTTTATAAAATTATAGGCCTAACACACTGATCAGGAGTGAAAAGTACTTCAAGAAGTGCATTATGATGCTCCCTAAGCAGGTTCAAATTCAGTAATATGGTGCTTTAACATTACAGCAATGGGAGTTATCACCAACTAAGACAAGGGTCAGCAATACAGGGCCCATAATTTTAACCTAACCCACAGAGCCAGAGGACTTTCCCTGTGCCTGCACTGCAGCCAGGGAAGGATGGGCGTGTGTACCCATCCCCTAGCAGCAGGGGGCTAGGGAAAGCAGCGGCAGCATGGGTACAACTCCCAGATGCCTTGCCTGAGCCCACACTAGGGCTGAGCCCCCCTCATCACTGAAGACACCCAGCTTGTGTTGAACCAGAGCCAGGTTATTCCAGCTCAGAGCTTGTTAAAAGGTTGCCAGCCACTGCTTTAAGAGTTAAAGCTCACAAGTCTGTCCCTCGGCTCCTTGCTCGCGAAAGACAATGGAACATGAGGATCAATCAGAGAATGAAACTAGGTATCAGAATAGAAATAACATTAAAGAACAGGTTTGTTGAGCTACTGTGCAAGGAGGAAGAAGAGTAAATGCATTGGTAAGGAGAAAATAGAAGGGAAGTCAATCCCAGCAGAGGAGGTAACCAGGAATATAGCCAGGGAGACAGCTGGCCTTCCATTCCCCTATTCCTCCTTTTAATCTTACTCCCTGACTATCTTCTAGCTCTATCCCTGGTTCTCTCTCTTCTGCTGGGACTGACTTCTCTCCTCACCATCACATTTACTCTTTCTTCTCCCTCTCAAACACTAGCTCAACAAGTCTATTCCTCAACTTTACTTCTCCTTTAATATTTGGTTTCATTCTCTGACTGGTCCTCATGAGACCCGCCCTCTTCATCTGGAGTTTTCACTCCAAGTACTGTTTTCAGCAGATTTTTTCAAAATCTTAGGTGACCTCCTCCCCTCCCTTCTCAATGTCACTACAGTGGCTCTCCCTCAACTACAGAAGATAATTAGGAGATAACTCAACTGTAGGAGATAATTAGGGACCTTTTGCAAGGAACAAGTTGAAACAACAACTCTTTAGAGCTTGTTTTAAGATAACAAAACATTTAGAGTACTTTTCCAAATTGCTCAGTTAACTTTTAGGTTACCTTTATTATACGCACATTTGCCCCCACAAACTATGTGCATACACTTTCAGGTTTCTATAGCATTACATACCTGTGACAAAATATTACTTGCTGATGAAGTGTCTTGATCAAATGCGTTAGGAAAAGAATCAAAGGTTCAGTAATTTGTCTTTTAGAAATACTTGTTTTACAAAAAGAGATCTTTACAAATGAAGATCTTTAATCAAAGATTGACAACTGTATTAATTTATAAACTTTTAAACTGAATTATTAAAAATAAATTTGTTTTCCAAAATGTAGATAGAACTTCTAGCAGCTCCTGCCCACCTTTCCTTGAATTAAAAAAACAGTAATATTTTTACAATCATCTTCAACCATATTACATTTGCAGAGTCCTCCAACATCCCTGATCACAAATAAATTCCCCAAAGATTCCTAAAAGACTACTAACGTTGTTCTTTTGGGTTTTTTTTTTTTTTTTAAAGGGGGAGATGCTTGTTTTTAGTAACAACCATAACATACTAATGTTAGTCTGAAATCAAACCCACTAAAAACATCAGAATAAAGTTTTTTCTATTGAATCACCAGTTGTGCCAGGGATCTGACTGCATACAATACCCACACAATTTAGCAACACAACCTGGCACAATTTAAGTGCCAGATGTATTTTGCATGTAATTTTTCAATTACCTTGTGTCATTTATATTCTAAAAAGAGCTCTGGAATGGTATCATTTTAATAGTAAGATTTTTTTAGTTAAAAAGTATTTTAAAAGACATACCCTCAAATGCCACGTTTCATTATAAGAACAAATCAAATGCATTCACAACCTTTTAAACTATTATTTTTGCGCTCCAGCCAGCTTAAAAAAATTAAATTGAATTAAATTTAAATAGATCTCTCATCTAACCAAACAATATTTTCCACAGGAGTGAGAGGAAGATAAAAAGTCTACAAATGCAAATATTATACTGCAATATTTCTACTTATCATAAGCCTTAAGAAACAAAATTCAAAAACTTACCTTAACAAAACCTGAATCTTGCACCTAAATGGACACCACAGTTACTAACCAGCTATGGCTTATGAGGAGTGGACTCAAGAACCCATCTATGGCATTGCTAGGAACGGCTTCTTAGTGGTGCAAGAACATTTGTGCTGAACTAAGGATTGGAAACACTGGAACTGATTCCCTATCTCCCCATTACAGCAAAGAACAGGATTTAGTCTGATCTCATATCAAAAGTTTTTTTATAAGTATTTATTTTCGAAAAGTGAATAAACATTTAAATGCTCTCATTAAACTGCTCCACTAGGAGTAGGTATCAGCCCACTACAGTACAATACATTTTCCCCAATATTGACATGTTCAGCAGAAACACTCCTGATGACCTTTCCACGACTGGCTGGCTGCTGCTGTCAGGTTAATTCTATTGGGTTCCACAAGATATTGCAACTCCACAGACTCTTATAAACTTTTCTTTTATTTTTAAACTTTTTATTTATATTTAAGGAAACAAAAATGTGCCATTCTGTTAGTTACCATTATGGGCATGGCTAGTAGCACCAAATATTAACGTTGTCCAACCCTTCCTAATAACACTTTTTCAATTGATCACAACTGCCAAACTTGTCAAATAGTTAGTGTCTGCCTTGTTTGGGGTTTTGGGAATTTTCAGCCAAAATGGCTTGCCTGTTTCCAAGAACAAGACTATGGAAAATGTGTTGCTTTGTCCATGTTAAAAGTTTTTAGCGACCACTTTACTCATCTCTAATGCCCCATGCTTTGAAGTAGAGTCCTGACATCTGGCAAAGATGATCTTTCTTGTGTCATCTGTATGAAAATCTAGCCAAACTGGACAAGTTATAAGCCTCTGAAAAATCACTTTACATATACTCAGTAGAGACTTCTTAGATATTAGTAGCTAAATTCCCTGAAAAGTCTGTCCATTCTGAACCTGCTCCAGTTAGGGTTAAGCAGACTTACCCTGCAATTGTAGCTCTGGGATACTTATGTGAATCAAGAAGACCTATTCTCTCTTCTCACATGCTGAATGCCATTCCTGGTACAGCCAGACAGCTTCAAGGACAAAGCTGTCTTCCCCTTTGCCTTCAAATAAAACAACCAAATCTGCAGGGAGAAGCATGCTGGGGATAAGGAGCAAGGATCAGGGTAGGGAAGGAACTAAGGCTGAAGGCTGTCAAGAGAGGGAAACCAAACCTAAGAGTTGGGGCTGAGAGACTGAGTTTCAGGGAGCAAATGAAAGTAACTGAAGTCAGAGTGGAAGAACATAGAGAGTAGATAAGGAACCTGAACTCAGGTAGCAAGCATGGTCTGGACACAGAGGGTTCATAGACATGCTCCAGTTGTTGTTGTGGAGGGGGAAGAGAGAGTACACTTTAATTAAAGTGGCTCCAAGAGCTGTTCTAATTAGAGTGACTGAAGCATCACATGTACCAACATCCCCATGCTGAAAAATGATGGCAGTTGAACAAGTTTTAGTTAAAGCGCCCCCATCACCATTTTTCAGCACGGGGATGTTGATACATGTTACCATACTCCAGTAGATTCGATTAACTGAATCTGCTCTGACACGCTCCAATTACAGCATATCAGAGCAGCCTCCATGCACGTGTATAGGTGTCCAAAGACTTGGGAAGTAGTACTGAGGTCCTGAACAGGTAGCTGGCAATGGCTACAACTGGAATGAGCAACCTGAGTAGACCTGAGGCTAAGTACAGACCACCAAAAATCGCGAGGCTGAATCGATTCAATCTTCACAGCTTAGTCTAAGCTATGTAGGTTGAACTAGTAAGCAAGTGAACAGACATTCTCTTTTGTTTCTGAAAATGCAGCCACATGCCTGCAGAAGCCAGGGGGTGCTACAGCATGCCTCCCTGCTTGGCTGGAGCAGGCAGCTTGGGCCAAGGCTAGCCCACCCACCCTGCAAGGTGGGTTGTGGGGGAGGTGCAAAGCATCCTAGGATGCTGGGGGACTGTGGGTTGACTTGAATCTGGAAGGGATCTGAGACAGAAGGTCAATAAACCAATTTAACCTAAATCGCATAAGTCTGACACTATATCCATCCAGGTTTATTTTAAACTGGTTTTGATCATTTTAAAAATGGTTTGTGTGCTGAACTTCTATTGTTACAGATTTGAACCCGTTTCCTATCACTCATACTGGTTTATGTTTAACTTCTGTCCCCAGCCTGAGTGACTGGCCTGAAGAACGGGCCTGAGACTAGGAATTAGCGATGGGGAACAGAAACAAACTGGAACAAATTGGAGGGAATGAAATCGAAAACGTATCAATTTGAGTAGTATGGGCTCCAAAAATTAGCAGATATTCCTGAACATAGTCTTTTTTTCCCCTCAGTCCCTAGTCTGTAAATGAGGATAATACTGCCTCATCTGACAGCTACGTTCTAGAATTAATTTGTTGATGTTTGTTAAAACACACAGACTGCTATGATGAATACTATAGAAAAAAAATCATGAGAAATGAATAGTTCTCTCTTCCTAGCTGTGTTAGGATAGTGTGCAACAAATAAGGCACTGACCACACCTTAAACAAAGAAAAAACAAAATAAACAGCTAGTCATTATATAAGCACCAGCTATTCCATGCACTGCACAAGGCATGGGTCATTTGAAAATAATATGTAATTATGTAATCAAGGACTATAATGCAGAATGGATGAGCACAGGGGGTTGAAACAGGATTATACAGCCAGCCATAATTCTGGTATTTCTTATCTTTGAGTGCTTGATTTCTAATCTTAATAATGTTCCTTTAACAAAAAGGAGATGTGTGAGATGCTTTACATAGATATTTATTCAATACCAACTTTATTTGTATAGGAAAAAAGGATTTTCACCATGACCAGTTACCTTAATCAAGAAGTATTTTTACAATTCCAAAAAACGTAAAAGAAAAAATCTGGTTTGAGCAACATACATGAGGCAGAATTCTGGAGGGCTATATCATTTTTACCTATAACTTCTGCCTTCCAATACAGTACTCATTTTGCAGCATATTAAGAGACTCAAGAGGTTAAGCATCAGTTATAAGGAAAAAGTCCTGATCAGTGGGAGATTTTAAAAGAAAAAGGGTATAGCTAAAATTGTATATAATTTAAAAGGAAGTTGTATGTGGGGCAGCAATATAGGCCACTTCTGCCTGTAACCCTGGATTTTAATTATAAACTTTTCAGGTAAGTAAAGGGTGTTTTTTGGGACGAGTATTTTAGCCAAAATTTCTGCAGCAAAGCAGCAGTGTTTTTAGAACATAGTAGATTCCAGAAAAGGAAGAAAAGAGGGTATACTAAATCCCTTTAAACTTTACAAAAACTTGGAATTCTTAAATTATGATCACAATCCTTCCAGTCTCTGTCTCTAGGAATACTTGATAACAAATATTATCTCCACAGTGAGTGAGCATGATGCCTCCATTCTACTTCCAGCCCCTGTTAACATCAGTACTAATAAGTCAGATGAACATAATTCTTGACAATGCAACTCTGCATATGCAATATGCCTGGAGTGATGGAGAAGTAACCTCATTGAAGGTTATACCATTTCTTTCAACAGAGAGCTGCTAGATCACAAGACCTCCATGGCAGTTATAACAAGGAATATTAGAAACAATTCCAATTGGTCTTAAAAAAGAGGAAAAATTAGCTTCTTTATACAGGCACAGTATATTACACTTCAAAGAAATAAACAATTTACCTGTGTTAATTTAAATCAACACACTGCAAGTGGCAAAGTAAAAAAGAATCAATATATGGCATGGCTTACATTTCACAGATTATTTACAGCTGTATTACCTTCTGTAGGACATCTAAAGCTGTAAGCACTGCTTCCTGTAAACTTGTCAAAACTGCTTCAGTGTAAGACGGAAGGATGAAAGGGGAGGCATCAGAACTGATAGGAACTGAAACAGCACCATGTAAAATGACACCCAGCTTTTGGAGATCATCCATACTGAAACCAGTTTTGATGTGCTGGTATAGAGCTGGGAATATCTGAATTAAAGCTGTGAGAAATGGCTGGCTGGGGATGAAGGTCAATTTATCGCAAGTAATTGGAGGCTTTGTACTTTCTGAGCCAATCCTATACCAAGTGTTCCAAGCAGCCCACCAAAGATTCAAATCCTCTATTTCATCTGTTATTACAGGTGGCTCAGGTGCATTATATCTTCCAATTCTTTCTCCTATGGAGTCAGTTCTCATGAATGATCTGCCCAGACTAGTAGCAGTCATTGCCCCTACGACAACAGGTACAGAAACGTTAATAGCAGGTAGTGTATCAGGTTTCTCCGAGTCTCGAACAGGGGAAACAATCTGTAAAATTTCCTGAAAACTTTTCAGAGCAGCCAAAGAAACTTCATTATTTTTGCTGAGGGCTGCTGACTGGATGTGATCAAGAAGAACATCCCAGGCTTTGGAAAAGTCTCCTATATTAAAAAAAAGAAAAGAGTTTCATCAGCTCGACCTTTCATCAGATCTGTTTTAATATATTTGCACGTCCAGTATAGAGGATTTTGCAAGGGGAGGGGACCCCTGTCTTCAATTTCTTTATAAATATATGATCATAACTGTAGTAAAAATGAACAAAGTAACAGACATACATGTGCGCACCTGTACACAGAGAAATAAAAGAATTATAGCACTGTTTATGCCAAACCTGATGTTTGTATACTATGACTTTAGCAGTTCTTTATTATAAATAATAAAAATTATTCTTGTTGTTCTTACACCTGTCAGTTGCCTGTTAATTTTACCAAGTATTAAATATATTTAATGGCTATGGGGTTCTATTTCTACTCATGCAATGAACCGAAGGATCTCTTAATACACAATTCTAAGATAATCATATATTCATTCAAGTTCTTAAGGTCCCCCCCCCCCATTTAATTTTTATTTGTAACCAAAATTTCATTTATGGAAGTATGTGCTTTTTTCTTGTGTTCTTTTTTTAAAAAATTGGAGATAGTTTTGGTGGGTTTTCAGCAACTTTTGATCTTCTAATACCAACATTCTTATATAAACTTCTACCAAGTTGCACAGATAACTAATGGATGGAGAGTGTTTGTATATGTTAGTAAGAAAAAGCTGTAAGTGAACAAATGATATACAATAAATCATCCCCCTAATTCAGATTCCAGCCTGTGGGCCAGATCTGGATGGTGTTGCTGTTATCAAGCCCATGGAATACCCCATGGATCTGAAAATTTGGCAGGGGGGGTAGTGATAGCACCATTAATTGCTCTCAGAGCTGCGCCAATTAATGTTGCAACTTTTCCTCTGCCACCAAATTTCCAGACCCATGGGGAGTCCTACAGTCTAACAGATATGGCCCCTCACATTAGATCTCAACAGCATATGGAATTATATTGCTGTCTGACTGCATCCACGTACCAACCCTACTTGTGGACACTGCCCAGGATTCAGCTGTCAGACTGATCCTATGTGAGATTTGGCCCATGGACTGGCCCCACACAAGTCATCCTTTTTGTGGGACTAGATAGGTTGTACATCTCTGTCCCTAATTATTACTTTTTATTCAAATTGTCAATTACTATTAAATTAAAGCTTAACTCTGAATTAAATGCATTTCTAATTCTTGTTTTTTTGGGTAATTACAATATCCTTGTCATGTTTTTACTAATAATTTAACTTCTCAGATTTGAATCTAGGAGTAGGGGGGAAAAATGAATGCCTCATCTCTCAGAATGTCCAATCACAACATTTATTCAAATAACAATTTGTGGAATACAGCATATCACATGCAATAATATTAAAAAGAAACCTTAGTAAGTTCTTAATTTTAGTTCACCTTTCTTTTACTTTTTCTTCATAGTAAGTCAGGGACCAAAGTATGACAACAAACTCAGAATTACTGTTTACCAATTACATTTCCTTACATGTGTCTCTTCACATTAAAAATATTTAAGACAGACTACTTCTCATTAATTATAAAATTAAATGACTCCTGCAGTCCATGAAGTCTAATTCTAGGCTACTGGGCGCAAAGTGCCTTTCCTCAGGTCTGGGAAAGAAGATGGTACAACCTAAGCTGGTAGGCCCAATAAAAGACAATCACCAGGAAAAGCCTTAGTTCTTGCATACATTATGGACAACAACTATAGCACCAATCCAATTTTACTGAACTACTACCTACTAATTTACTGCATCATTTTGTCAGTGCTAGACTGGAAGTTCACTTAGGCATGAATACTAAAAATCATACTGGCCAAACATGGCTTCTGCAACTGATAATTTTACAGACTAGTAACTGCAAATATCCAATGAATGAGTTTTTATAAAAAGGAGAAAGCAGAAGAAACAGGAGTATCAAGGAGATGAGAGGATAATGAGAATAAACCAAAAATGAAAACAAAGAAGATGAGAAAAAACAGAATAGAAGAAAAGAAAGTACAAAATTGGAGAATACCAAGGCCGTTAAAAGAGAACAGAGGAGAAAGAAAAGGAAAGGAAAGGAAAGGAAAGGAAAGGAAAGGTTCTGAGGGAGGAGAGAATGGGTGGATTCGCTCCTATTAATTTCAGGTAGTGCAGGTATGGTAATAACAAATTAAACCAAACTAACATGGAGGAAGAACTGCTTGAAAGAGGGAAATCTTAAACTGCTTCCCAATTCATAATAAGTCAAGTATTTTTCCTTAAACATTTTCCCTTTTTTAAACCATACTCAGCAAGCAGATTTCCTCAATATCAGCATTGTTCATAAGACTTGAAGAGTCCCTGCCTGATAAATGTTCTGTAGTATCACACTGTTGTCTGAGTGTTAAATATTTTTATTCAACAAATGAAGAGGGAAAAAATCCCTTTGTTTTTCTGTCAGAGTCAAGAATGCTTACAGCATTTTTACTAAAGTCATTTGGTATCTGAGGTAGGAATAATAACATTTAATATCATGTCCATACTTTTTATTTAAGAATTCTTATTCTAAGCACCTGAAAACAAACTCCACAAATCACAAAGAATAGAGAACACACATTTATAAGAGTAATTTAAATACTTTCCTATAATCTTACTGAAAAGAATATAATAATATACTGAAAAGCATTTAATATTAAAAAGATATTACCTAAAGGCTGCAATATGTATCTCCTCGTGTTAAATATTCTTGCAACACCAGCCAAAGTTAATACCCATGTCTCCGCCCATTGTTTTTCTGCTGTATCCCTGGAATGATGAATGAGGATATTGCCCCCTCCTGATTCAATTTTCTCTTTGTCAGCTGTGGTGGAAGACTCTCGAACACGATCCAACAAATGAAACAGAACCTAAAATATTCAGAAAAAAAATCCATTGACTACTGCATGCATTTGAACTCATGCTAAAAACCAAGAAAAAAGCAAACTGTATATTTTCTTCCTCCCCTTTGGTCCCTTGAAAGGGACCAGGAGAATTCTTTTATTCTGCTCAGACTTACTCTCATTTCTGGGACTGTGTATACCTGAATTAGCCACCTGACATTAAAATCACACATAGCTCTTTAGCTTTTGCGGGGCCATACCCACCACCATCTGAACCTTTGAGAATACTCTTGGTGCTAATTAAAACATTGTAGAACAGACACACTGTCTATGCTCCATTTCCAGAGCAAACCAGAGGAACCTGTGATGTGTTTCTTTAGTAAACATGTGCAATTATGCTTATTTTAAATCAGGAGCTCTGTGGGTATGAGGTGCCAAAGTGATGACATAAGTCAGGTCAAGCCCTGTCCTTACTTTTTCAATGAGAACGAACAGTCTGCCTGCATTCCAGGGGAAAAGGGCCTTTAGGTATCGCAACTGAGAGGAAAGAGAAAAGGTAAATCTCTTATTGCAGGGCTATCCAACTGGTGCTCCAGGGGCTGCATAGAGCCCTCAAGAGGTTAACATGTGGGCTGTGGACCTCAGTGGCTACCATTCTCGCTGCTGGGAGAAAAAAGATCAAGATATAAAAACAGAGTTACACTAAGTCACTGGAAATTCCATAACAAGTTGGTATAAGGGCAAGACAGAATGAGAAAACAATGTTTTGAAGGCACCTGCAAGATAAAACAGGCCCCAGCTACTTTGTGTTTATAAATTATGTTAAAAAAAAAGGTTAGAAAAATTAAAATTGCCATGACAATAAACATGCTTATAGACTCAATACCTTCCATATAACTGTGTGCCACGTTGAATGTTGGAGTAAAGTTCCATGAGCACCAATTGTAGAAAATAACGTCTGTCCAGCACTCTTTCTAACTGCTGGTCGTGGATCTACACAGAGTTCCCCCAACTTGGCATACAGGCATAACCAAAGGCAGTCAAAGGGTGGTGCAGGGTGGAAAGGACGATTTAACATCACTCCCTTCTCTTCTGCCTGCTTTTGCAATACCGCTTCCTCTTTGTTCAGTTCCTTTTCAATGATTTCACCTCGTTGGAAAAAATAGTCTGAAATATTCCACTACAAACAAAAAAGTAGATATAATCATTATGTAAACACATATCCAAACTAAATATCCAAACAAACATTTGTTCATTGATCATGGATAAAAGTGTTTCTAATTTGAACATTTTTTATAATACATTGCCAAATGTATACATAACTAAAGCTCCCCTACAGTGATTTTACCTGAATAGCATTTAATTGCACCACAGAGTAGACTATGAAAGTACACTATTTCTGGACTTTGGCTTTAGGTTCTCAAATGACTTTGCCAATTGCTAAGTATAAGAAAAGGGATCTTAAAATCAATATGATATCTACTTAAAAAGCCCATTATTATAATATCTCTGTAACTATCTTGCATATTATGGAGTCACAGAAATAAATTTAAAATCTGCTCACTCTGTATATACAGGCAACTTACTGACTTCAGTGGGAGTTTTGTGAATACCTGGCAAACAAGCGTTGGCATGTATCTGGTTAGCAGACTACAAACCAGCTAGCATTAACATTAGTCAAGTAAAGCTCTGAAGTATCATCATTATGGCTTAATGAAACTCACCAACAAACCAATTGAAGTTAAGCTAATGTTTAGCTCTTGATTGTGAAGTCCAAAGCTTCCTGCAACTTCAACAACTATCTGTAGGCAAGTGCACGGCATTGTTGGTAGAAAATCTGTCACAACCAACTGAAGACACTGGAATGCAGTCCGTATTAAGGACTCTCTTAAAAAAACCAACATACACCTCATTTCAAATTTTCTTAAGAACACGCAAATTGCATATTATACAACAGGAGGAATACTACAACAAAAGGAAAACGGTATTTATGTTAAGACTAAAGATTCCAAGCAGAAGCTGAAACATATTGAAGGTTTGTCTCAACTAAGATAAGAGATTTTTTAAGAAACTTAATTGGTACATTTTAAAGTCACTTGCAGAAAAAGCAAATTGTACTTAAATGCATGTTAGCTAATTGAGTTGAAACTTCAACACAACGCAGTAGTTATGAAGAGAAACAAATCTGCATATGCAAGACTAAAAAATACATATAATATTTCCTTTATTTCTGTTAGAGAAAAAAAAACCACTTGCAACCAGTAAGTAGCCATCAAAAGTTTTTACTAGCTTTGATACTCATGACGTTATTCCAAATCTTAGGATAATCATTAAATTATTAATTCATAATTCTGTGCATAGGTTTCTCTTTCAACAAACATCTCTCCATGATATCTAAAACAAATAGACTTAGCATTAAAAAACTGCAAACAATCTATTGGTGAATTCATTAATTCAGTAGACAATGTATGCAAAGCTGACAATGTATGCATTTAAAAAGGAGTAGGAACATTACCAGACTGCATTAAGTTGACTGAAGTAAATTTAGAGACCTATATCAACCTTTTAACATCTACCTAAAAATGAAAAACAGTAAATATTGAATACTCTGCTCTTTTTATCTATATCAATTTTTAAAACATTTATTTCAACCACTTACCCTTGATCACTTCTGATTGCTCCCATGACTCCAAGCACTAATGGCCAGCCCGGTCCTAGACTGTCACCCTGGCTTTGCAAAATCTGTAATACACACTCCAGCTGCTTGATCCTAATATCAGGATGGTTAATATTTGACAGTTCCTTCAGTGGATTTAACAAAAGCAACTGTAGCCTCTAAAAATAAACAGCAAGACATACCAAGGGGAGTAAACAGATAACATAGATCATAATTCATCCTGACAAAATAGGTGAAACAACACAGCATCAACCCTATGGCACAGGCAGATGTAAGCTTAGTTATTTAAACAGTTTTTAAGTGCTATAAAAATTGACTGGAGAGGATGCTATAGGACTATAAATTGGCCCAAATTACATAAAAATGACCCTGGATGAAACTTAAAAATCTGAAGCACTGCACCAGAAGTGTCCCCAGGCAATTCTTGATCTCTCTCTACACCAGGGGCAGGGCTGGGGGACCCTGCCAGAGGCAGGAAGCCCATTCTGAGGCTGTGGGATCTGGCCAGCCCTGCTCTGGAGGGACTACTCTCCCAACACCATTGGGCATGGAGCCAAGCCCTACAGGCCCATACTGAGGGGGGTGACTCCCTTCTCTGTACCAGAGCAGGGCTCATGGGACCCTTCCAAGGGCAGGGGCCTCTCTCTCTGAGGTTAGGAGATCTGGCCATTCTGGACAGGAAGGACTGTTTTCCTCTGGGAAGAGATAGCAAAGGGGTTGTGGGGTGTGTGCTGGGCAGCTGATCAAGGATGAGCATTTAATTCCCTTAAAATTCATATAAAATATATATTGAGTGTATATACATAGTCTCCTCTTAAGAGCTGGTACTTGTTATAGCAATATTCTCAATTTTGTATGAACAGAAAAGGGTGGAAGGAAACCTCTCTCAAACTAGTAGAATCTGATAAAATGGAAAATACGTTTTTAAGTCTGCTCCCCCACAACTGTCAAATGATCTGCAGAAAAGAGTAGGGTTATTGAAGAGCTGGTTATAGCTCTTATTTTGAACCATCAAAAATCAGAGACGTATATATTTAGACTTTGATATAACATGACTTCCTGAACCTTTGGCCTTCACTTTTGAAGTCTGTTTTCCCTGCTTATTAAATTTGAAGTTGATATGGTAGTCAGTATTAGCCTCTGCTAATATATATATATTTAATATATATTTATAGATGCCTTTTCTCTGAACCATCAAAATCAGAGATGTCTATGTCTATGATTTTGATGGTTCAAAAGAAAAGGAGATGATTTAGAGAAATAAATAAATAAAAAGGGTAGAGAAAGATATGCCACAAAACAACTGAACTTTTTCTAACAAAAAAACTGTAGTAAAAAATAAATCTGCTGTACATTACGGGACAAACATGAAAGGAAACTCAAGAAAAAAGCCAAAGTGTCTATAGCAAAAATATCATTAACTGCCAATATTTTTTTAAGCTAATACAAGGACAGGCAGGAAAAAGATGCCATTTTATGCACCAAAGAATCTATTCTATGCCCTCAGTTATCCTACATAGTCTTGCAAATATTTTGGAAATGTTTTGTACTTGCAAGGGTGATCTACCTTTTGTTCTAACGCATGAACATGGTAAGTTAACACCATCATTCTTTGCTCTGCATTGAAGCAAGGTTATGGCTGATTAAAATGCATGAAGTGATCCTCAATATCTAAACCATACAGTTACAACTATAGACTTTAGAAACTCAACGGTAAATGCCACTGATTTGCCGAAGTGTAGAAAACTGCCTCTGTGGAATATTACAATTTAATGTCCATTATCAGCTCCAGAAAAGGAAAGAATACATTCACAAACTTTACCTGATTTTGTGATAATGGAGGGTCATGGTTAAATGTCAGCCCTGCTTTAATGAGAGAAGTTAATGCTTCTGCTCCCCATTCTCTCATCCTGGAGTTTGGATGTTGACAGACCTGAAGACACAGCATAGCCATGTTTAAGCTGTTTTTGTTTAACCAAAAATGTTTGTAAGCATTCAGCAGTGAAACTAGATAAATAATCTATGTAACATTTTTTTGAAAAGGTAATCAAAAACTCATTTTACAATAGGAAGGCAACCCTCTTTGTATTTTGTTATTTTTCCCCGTACTTCTCAATGCAACCTACTGCTATTATTTAAGTTATTGTCACAAAAGTTAAGACTAAATATGACAGTAAGATTGGAAAAATGTATTTGGGACAAGCTTACCTTCTGAATAAGAAAACAAAGGAAGCCAAAGGGAAAGAGGCAGAAGGAAACAACATGAAAACCAAGGCAATTCAACTCAACAAAATATGCTGTTTTTTTAATTGAGAAAAAGCAATAGGATCTTTGCAAATGTAGACATTGCTAACTTAAAAAGACATAAAATCTTCTCTTTGACACAACAACTCATTTCCTGTTAATTTGCCCGTGAGCAGCTACAAAATAAATCCCCTGTCTCACTAGTCATGTTTCAGAACAGCTAAATTCCTTAATGGAACCAAATGAGAATAGGCAACAAAATTATTTGTCTGTCTTTGGTTTCAAAAACAAAAAATAAATGCATTTAAGTAACTACAAAATTACTGTACTAAAAGCAGCAAATAAAGTGAGCAGATGCCACATTCTTCTTTCAAACACTTGAGAAAATGGCAGGTATGATAGCAACCCCTGCAAGTTAGAGACCCACTGGAACATATGCATCTCTCTCATAATTGACTTGCCTTTGTTCCCTGTTCAATCCATATACAGATTATAAATCCATTTTTTTTTTTGGTTAACTGTTACTTCTTATGGAAAGAAATTAAGCCTAATTCTATAAATACACTGCACAAAGTGCTACCATAATATGAGCAGTTCTGCATGTTGTCATATTTGAGACACCAGTTACGGAAGCAGTTGAGGGAGTTAAGCAACATTTTTTTTTTTTAAACAACAACAACAACAACAACAACAACAACAAAAAATCAATGCTCCCATAAACCATTTTCAATTGGAGCAGGGATATGTGATCACACTCCCAAGAGAGAGGCAACCCCTAAGTCTAGGAAAGAGGAGACGAAAAGGAACAGGTTTATAGGCCCTGGGTATAGTGGACTGGGTATGACCAACTTCCAGGGCATTCATCAGTGACCTGGAAGATGGGACAGACTGCGCCCTCAGCAAGTTTGCAGATGACACCAAATTGGGAAGAGCAGTAGATAACGCTGGAGGGTAGAGCTAGGATTCAGAGAGACCTCAACAAATTGGAAGACTGGATCAAAAGAAAACTTACGAGGTTCAATATGGAAAAGTCCAGAGTTCTGCACTTAGGACGGAACAAATCCCATGCACTGCTACAGGCTGCAGACCAAATGGCTAAGAAGCAGCTCTGTATAAAAGGACCTGGAGGTTACAGTGAAAAATAAACTGAATGGAGCCAAGTGTTCCCCAGCTGCCAAGAAGGCTAATGGCATACTGGGCTGCATTACTAGAAGGGCAGATCAAGGGAAGTGATTATTCCTTTCTATTACACACTGCTAAGGCCACATCTGGAGTAGTGTCCTGTTTTGGACCCCCCATGACAGAAAAGATGTGGACAAACTGGCGAGTTCAGCAGGGGGCAATGAAAATAGTTTGGGGGCTAAGGAACATGACTTTTGAGGAGAGGCTGAGGGAACTGAGCATATTTGGTCTGGAAAAGAGAAAACAGAGGGGTTTAATAGCAGATTTCAGCTACCGGGCAAGTGGCTCCTTGGAGATTAAAACCTGGCTAGACAAAACTTTGGCTGGGATAACATAGCTAGGGTTGGTCCTGTTTTGAGAAGGTGTTTGACTAGATTAGATGACCTCTCAAGGGGCCTTCCAACCCTAATTTTCTATGATTTGTATGGTTTTTATGACTGGAGAGGGGAAAAGTTTCTCCATCATTTTCATATTAACTCTTAACAAAACTAGAAATAAAAGGGAGAAAGAAAGAAGAGTTGGCTTTCTTGCACCCTACCCCAGCTACATGTCAAATCCTTAGGTCAATAAGCAGTAAGGCAACATTTTAAATGAATGGATGTTACAAGGGCAGGCCCAGGCAATATCATGCTGAGGCATTCCCTGCATATTCTCAGTAGTGCAACTATGACAAGACAAACAGGGCATCCACTGCAGTTGCCAACTTAGGGGGAGCATCAGAACTGTCCCCCCACCTTGGGAACCTTTGCTATGACAGGTGCAGCCTGAGCAACCCCGCTATAAAAGCCAGGCAGGCGTGCAGTGGGACTGCAGCAGCTAAGAGAAAGGTTTGCTTCATACCAGCTGCACCAGCTTGGTAGCATGGGTTCCCCAGGGGCTACCTCTGGTGACCTGCTCATCACCCCTCATCCTCTCCCAGAGACTCTACTGGGCATTCAGAATGACACCTCCAAGGCAGGTTCATCATTCAGTTCAGCCCCTCGCTCCCCCCAGACGCTATGAGATGCAGGGCTGCCTGGCTTCTACGACTGGGCAGTGTGAGGCTGTGCCTATCATAGTAAAAATTCATGGGGGAGGGAAGGCAGAAAGACTGGGATTCTGATGCCTCTTGCTGAACCTGCTCCTCAGCTGCGGCACTTTGAGCATATCTATGATAGCTGCAAGAACTGTCACCAGTGTGGAGGGACTGGGTCTGGTAAGACAATTTGTTATTGCCCCCCAGAGGTGGGCATTCTGCCCAGGATGCTGCAGTAGGTCACTACACCTCTGGCTATTCCACCCAAAGGCCAATAAGCTCAGTAGAGTGTAACAGTGAAGTAATACAGCTATACTACTCCTAGTCTGGGATGAGCATATGCAGAGCTGGTACAGCATCTCAGCACAGCACTGTATTACAACTTGGAGACAGATCCTGAGTCCAAAGATCTGACTGGTGAACTGTTAGCCCACATGGGGAAGGACCTTGTATGTTAAGATTTTGTATGTTAAGACCTTGTATGTTAATCTGTACATATACCCTCATTCCTACTCAAAAGAGCAAGTTGCAAGAACGTGGAAGTAGGTAAATCCTAGGGCTTAGCCTAAAGGGGTCACACTCTTAATATTGTTCATATGAAGCCATTTAACAGCAAATAAATTCTTAAGTATAGGTGTGATATCTTCTAAGGACCCAGAGGATGGAAAGCCTCCTCCAGCTCCCCTTAGAAAAAAAGAGTGTATATACAGAATGAACTCTAAATCTATCCCTGTGTATTTCATGCTCCTGTATATTCTGACCAAGGTAAGTTTTAAATTTGAATTTTTCCTGAATTATTTTTTGTAGATAGTTTGTCAGAGGTATTCAAACGAAGTTTTTATTTTATTATGACAAAACATTTTGTACATGATTCAAAATGTTGTTTACACAAGAACAACAGTTATTCCTATTTACTACTATAAATAGAGGCATTTTCCTTTAAGGCACTTACAAATGCATTTAACTTGCTAATAGTTAAGTAAATAATTTCTCAAGTCTAAATGCTCCAGTCTGTCAGGTACATACATACACTCTTTCTGAAGACATGGTTTAATAATCAGAATATATTCATTCAAAATTTAAATTTGCTTGAGTTATACTAAGCCAAATAGTAAAATAATGATCAGCTTTATTTCAGATGTTTGAAGGCAGATATTTAGCACTCTGAAAAAAATAACAATACCAATAAAGTATCATCTTAAATTTAAAATATGATAACTAAGTTCCAAAAACAGAACATTGTTACTCTGTTAATTAAGTTCATACTGAGAAAGCTTTAACTAAAATACAAATTAATACCACTGAGAGAAATCAGTTACCTCCAGGAGGTGACCAGTCAGAGGTCTCCACAGAATCTCAATCCTGTGCATGTTAACTAATCCCGTTTCCAACAATTTAGCAACAGCAAAAAGGGATGGTTCCTAGATAAAATGGAATTTGAAAGAGAAAATGGTATTTGAATAAATGATTGGAGAGGTCATGTTTAATTTTAGAACTTTTCCCTCTCTTATTTATAACTCAATTTTTTCCAGTCATACTACTGTATTTTGCAACTTGCAACCACAGCATATACTCTATAGCAGGGGTGGGCAATTTTTCAGCTGCAAGGCCACTTAAGTTTTGGTGAGCCGCAGATATTAAAATTTTAGAAGATATCATTTTAACAAATTATAGATCAAACACAAATCGTACACTAGAAATCAAACATCTATTATAACATTTTAATTTTATTTTTAAAAATATTTTGTCCTGATTTACTGTTTTTCTTGAGCAGTGTTTAGAGAGGAAATTGCATAATAGCTCAACATAAGTCTTACCCTTGTATAGTGTGT